AGGTATACTACACACCCGATCGCCAAGCGCACAAGTCGAGTACGTGCGTTTGGGCGCAGACCTCGGAGAAACGGCACTGCGCACCGCGGTAATTTTCGTAAATTCAACGAAATAATTAAGTCAAGAGCGCCTCGCTCGGCAACGAGCTGCGCGCAATCGTCTAATCTGCGGCAAAACGCGTAATAACAGTTATTTCGCTCTCGTTGTTTGAATTTCACTCGTGCGATCATAATATAGATACATATAATATCGACGCACACACGCGCGCTTGTAATGCCCGTCAAAATCGAGATCGCGGATCGTCGGCGTAGCGCGACGCGATCGGATAAAATCTTAACTCGACTTCTCTCGGCATCATATGCAACCCCGTACGCGCGAGGTAATTGCGCTGCACAATGTAACAGCGCGCAGATACACAGTACACACACACCGAACGAACGAACGAGAGGCAAATTTGATAAGCGGACGCAACGATCGGCGCGCAATCGGCCGCGAACCTACACGTATGTATAATGGACAAAATAAAACGGTATCTACTGCATCGCATGTAGTATACGCCGGTGCGTGACTGCAGTCGCGAGGCTTCGCGCGCATGTGTATTCATTCGTCAATCGCGTCGCATAATAATAATAATAATAACAAAAACAAGCCGCGGCATATATATTTGAAAATGGAAATAATCACTCGGTAATGTGTGCCTCGTTCATCTATACCTTGTTTATTTATTTTACTCTGTTGTTTATGGGCTCGCGTCGTCGTTGTCGACGCGAGTACACATACATAGTGCCATATTCTCTAGTCGCGGTGCATCGTACGTACGTAGCACATACGACACATACCCACGATTATAACGTTACGTTAGGACACGAACGAATATCTCGTCGACGATGTTAATAATAGGCTGTATATGTGTGTGTGCTGCAAAGCTCAGAGGAGATCGTGTCCCCTATTTGTTGTCTAATTCCCCGCGCTCACACCGTTAGGATATCGCGTTGTGTCCCAGTATCATACGTGTACGCTCGCTCACTCCCGTGCCTTCTTCCCCGATTCGATGCTTCGCAATACGTGTATTCGCCGAATGCAGCTGCGGGGGCACGAGGAATCTCGACTGTGCCGGCCCGAGATGATTTCACCACCGCGGCCGGGATGTATCGCTCCTCGATATATGGGTCAAGCGCGCATCTGGATCACTTATAATACAAATGGAAACAAAAGCGATCGATTATGGCTCCGAATTCAGAGTCACTCATTGTTGTCGGCGATCGAGTGAGAGCTCGCCGGAATATATATCTGGTCTTTTTTTGTTTTCTTTTCGTTAATTCGGCTATTGTTGCTCGAGAGAAAGAGAGAGAGATGGTCCGGCTGCAAATCAACTCGAAACTTGATAATTTCCTCTCGGACTATTATTCCATTTCGCGAAGCGCAGCCGCACACGCGCGTACGCACATACACACGGATTCGAAACAATAGCGCGAAAGAAAGTCACCTGGGCGTATTATATTGCGTTTAAAGGCAGAGAAATATAAGTAAAAGCAGAACTATCTACGTGCGTAATCGCTTATCGTTCGTTTCGGCGATTATGCTTTTTAATGTTTAAAAGTGAGCGAGAGAAACAGAGAAAAAAGAAGGCGGTGAGAGACTACTGCTGCTGCTGCCGTTGCAGCGAAAAACATTGCGCGCGCGCGCTAAGGTGTGATCCAACTGCCGAGATAATAATTGAAATTGCTTTTGCTGCGCGCGATCATTGAAAGGCTGCTGGCGAGCGGATATTTTCGAGTTGTAATAAATGCGGAGCTACTACACCGCGTCCGATGAATATCTTACTCTCTTTCGGGCCGGGCGATGCAAATTTTTTACTCGCTTTCGAGCCCGTGCGCGCGACGCGCTCGTATACACAATGTAGAACTTTGCTCGAATCGGACCCACGCGATCTTTATTAGTGTAAACGGCGAGCGGCAATTAAGTCGATTTTTGGCGCGTTAACCGATTCGACGCGCATCGATTACAATATTCTCGCGCCTACACCCGTGTACGTCGGTATTATACTCGAACGGTGCGCAATGCAACGCGTGTATCAATGATACGTCTCGAGGACGATCCGAAACGTCTGGACTCGTCCCGTTAAGACGCGCGCGCGTCTGTGCCACGTATACCCGAGGAATGTAGCTTATTTAGAGATGAGTCGGTCGGATATACGTCGACCGCGGGGAGCTCGTTATATACGAGAGCGCCGCGAGCATGGCACACTGCGGCCGTCGACGAAAAGTGTCACTTTTATAATAGCTCGGCGGATCGTCGTCTCGAGGTCGATTGTCGCGCGACGCCAAAAAGCTCGAAATTCAATGCGCGCGCTTTACATTATATGTAGGCTCGTGCTCTCGATACATACACACATATATTACACACACTCAGACGCGCGTTCCGAGGGTCATGGCATACCCAGTAGCTAACTCTCTCGACGACGACTACGAGTTCTTTGTGTATATGTTTATGTTTGTCTGTGCCTGCGCGAGTATATAGTGCAGCTTCTATAACGGTGCAAAATTATATAGGAGGCCTCGTTACGTCACACGAGACTGCAGCAGCTCCTCTCTCGCGCTCACTCACTGCGCGGCTACCATGTGTAGTGTTTACGTGTGTGTGTATACAGCTAACAGCACAAGCTCGCGCGCTAATGATCCGAGAGCGCACACACGCGCGTGGCACACATGGGTCCTGCTATATATATATCCTGCTACAAATTCCTGCCTATATAAACACGATGCTACTGCTACTGCTACTGCTCATCCTGTATCTCGTCGACTCGATCTCCAAGTGCATCCATACACACACATGTATAAGAGATTTCGTTCGCTCGTCATCCTCTTCTCCCTCCTCCTCCTTCTCCTTTTTCTCATCGTAAGACTGCAGCACATGTTATGCTCGCGGGTAATAATGCAGAGAGCAGTATTGGACGCGACGGTCACGAGGACACGCGCGAAAAAAGGATTAGGGGGACAGACGTCTTTGAGCTTCGGTGTGTGATATGCACAGCTTTAACTCGTGAGTGTGCGTGTGTATGTCTGTGTGCTTGCAAGTCAGTGAGATCGCGTCAAGTCGACGGATCTTATTATAATAGCAACTATGCAGTCACGGTATGTGTATATGTGTGTGAGTTCGTTTGTGTCTGTGTACACAATGTAACACATCTAACGTATACAGGATCATGAGATTTTTTTTTGCTTGTCGCGTCTCGTGGGACCAGAGCGGAAACTCGTTGATCTTAATAAGACCCATACCACGCGTATTATCTCTCTCTCTCTCTCTCTCTCTCTGTGCCTCGCTCTCGCAGGATGTGATATGCATGAATAATATAATTGGGGGCGAGCTATTATTATTTTCGTACGTCTCGATTTTTTCGCTGTCTAGGCCGCCGGTCGCGCGCGCCACAGCTGAGATCTCCCCGAGTCGATTAGAGAAAAATTTCGGAAGCAAGCAGTCCTGCACGGCGAGATCCCGCATCATTCCCATGATGCTTATATTGTATCCCGTACTTGCATCGCGCAGAACGCTACAGGAGGTTAAGCGGGAGAAAATTCCAGTTCGGGGAAGATGCTACTTTGCCTACATTGTTGTTTTAAATAGGCAGATGTAATGAAATCACCGATAGGAATTTTTTTCTATGGTTTTGGTCAAAGTGTATGCTACGTTTGTAAAATATCGAAGCGTCTATTTGGTGGTGAATTCTTTCGCGTAATTCTACAGACGTTTTAACTTCGTGTACAAAAATCATCGTTTTTTAAGATCTCTAGGGTTAATTATAACTTCTTATACTAAAATGAAAAATTTAGCGTAAGAATATTTTTATAGTAATTACATATATTACAAGTATATTATACTTGTTATATATACTTATTGGAAATATTTTTGCCGCTTGTGAGTTTACAAAACTCTATCTATTTATAATAATACAAAGCTTATGATCAAACATGAGACCTTTGATTATGATAAATCTTGTATAATACAAATTAAATTCTGGAATTTTAACCCTTACATCTTCTTATAAAAATAAAATTCATTTTTAAAATCAATATCACCAGCAACAAGTACATTTTATATAATTTATTTCAATTGGATAACTTAGTTTTGTATCGATGAACATCCATACTTTAATGGATTTAAAATTAACTGCATCATTATCTTTTTTTTGTGGTGATAATTACTTTTAAGTGAATAGTGTAGTTGAAAATATTGTGAATAACAAACAAAGCCGGAAAGATCGCGAGCCACGTTTTTCATACCCGAGAAAAGTACAAACTTTGAACACAGAAATTATTGGGAATCGCAAAACGATCCCGGTGTATGTAAATTCGACCTCCAAGAGATCGCGCACGAGAGAAAATCTTTGACCTTTCCTTCAATGTGTTTACTAAATTGACGAACAATACGTTGCAATACGGTTAAAACGCGTTTTCGCGCGATTCAAGAACATATATTTATATAAACATCATATGTACGCTTGACGGGAGAGATTCGAGCTGCGTTGCGGTTATCGCGCCTCTATTTCGCTACCCCCTTTCAAATCATTATTACTCCTCGTTCGACGAGGCGAAACTATTCAATTATTTGTTTCACAGTCACTCAAGAACGCCTTGGAAATTAGTAATAATACGTTTCAACCTACAGAGAGAAGAGAAAGACGAAACTGTTTGCTCTGTGCGATCATTGCGAGTTATTATTACTATTATTTATTTTTTTTTTAGAAAGAACTCGCAAACAAAAAATTATGTTGAGTGTATTATTTTGTCAGTGTCGCGCATCATTCCCATCGCACTCGACACACAGTCAAACCGGACGATTTTGCAACTTACACTGCTGCAATTCGTCATATATAGCTCAAGTCGTGTGTCGCAGGCCTTATTAAACAGTCAAATTACGCTCTGGAAGATAACAAAGAATTAAAAAGTATAATTACTCGTAAGCAAGGTCGAAAACCATTATTACTGCGCGAAACGCGAGCGTAGAAGTTGACATAGTAAAAAAAAGAGAGACCACTCGACGTCAGTTATCGAGTGCCAGTCAAATCGATTGGGTTTTTTTTATTTTGTCAATAAACTCGAGTGATCCAAAACGCGCCATAAGAAAAATCATGACGGATCCGATTGTTTACATCCGAATCTTGTGCCGCGTGTTGGTACTCGTGCCGCTCATCTGCCTCATACACGTATCTTTCGTAAGTCGTCAATAAATTTTCAATTTTTTGCGTCAATCACGCCAAAATCGTTCGTGCCACGCGGATAAAAGGTATTGGTCCGGGTGCTCGGTAGCGCAGCCTCAGCACGAAGCAGTGCAATACCTAGTGCCCGAGAAAACGAGCGTGGCTGCCTGGATCAAAACTTTTTTTCCGCGTACATAATGCAGCGTGAGTAAATCGTCGTTGTAAAATCGTTGCTGTGCCGCAGGCTATCGAGTACCGCACCGTACTATCGACCCAACGAATAACTCACATCGACAACGACTACGTCGACTTTGACGTGCGTTATTTCGGCGACGAGGGCACACCTTACCTGACGCTCAAACAAACCATAACGCCTTACAACGATTTACATGTAAGTTATCGAGTGCTGCTACATATATACGTACATGACGCGCGCGCGCGTATAATTTCCACCCGAGCTTTTTCACTTTGAACCGATCGACGAGAGAATTAGAGGCGGGACGAGAGAGAAAAACGAGCAGGTCAATCGCGAGCAATTTTCAGCGTATCTCTTTCGTCGATACAGAGAGAGAGAGAGAGAAAAACGATCATGATCTCGCTGTGATGCATGTGTATAATTTCGACAGATAATGCTGTACGCGAAATCGTACGATCAAGCGCCGATATTGATGAGCAAAGCACCGCTGAGCCTGTGCCAATCGCTTCACGAGCGACGACTGCAGCATGAGTCGCAGCAGCAGCAGCACGAGGCCTCAGTTGACGCGGCAGCAGCAGCCTCTGGCAGTTTACCCGGTAAAAATCACAGCTCCAGTCGAGATCCACTCGAGCGATTCGACCTGCCGCAAATATTTAATTTAGCCGGCAAGACCTGTCCCATCGCCAAGGTGAGTTCACTCGAAAGACGAGCGAGAGAGCGAGAGAGACAGAAAAGTAAGAGAAACGTCGCAATTATTGCGCAACGGATCGGCACAATAATAGGTAAAAATGTTTCGCTCTATGCACTTATTATATACATATACACAGAAGGAGCGCGTTCGCCTATCGCCGTACATTTTGCCGGCAAAGTTCAGCAGCGACGTCGATCTCGGCTGCGGTTACAAAAACATCGAGGCCCGATTGATGAAATGCCGCGAGCTCCCGGACGATCCGGCCATAGCCACGGAGTGCGAGACTCTGATGAGGAGCGTCTCCCTGACGCAGATCTACACCGACGGCTGCACCGACGAGGTCATAGCCGAGGGTTGGCTCGCCAAGCAGGTAAGCCGCAGCAGCCAAATAAATAATTTATAAATTCGAGGACTGCAACAGAATGCCATATACAACGCTATTTTCCTCTTTCTCTCTTGGATTTGCAGTTGCAGTTATCGTCGGCGCTCGAGTACATCACCAGCGTGCACACCAGGATAATAGCTTACTTTCGATCGTAGCAATAAAGTATCCGTGCTTTGAGCAATTTTGACTGAGCCTGTTTTTCATCGTTTCTTGCCTTTGCTCCTCGTTATATACATACGTATCTCAAGCTAGGACGTAATCGATCGCGCCGCGACACATCTTAATTCTGCGGGGCCAAAAGTCGAGTGAGAGAGAGAGAGAGAGATCGGTTTAAATCAAATTATGCAATAGGTGAACAGCTGCATCTACGTATGCAGTATCGTTATAGCTCAGCCGCGCAAGACAGATGGCTGACGTTGCCGTGATCGAGGAAATTTTTTGCAAGTCGCTCAATCACGAGGGCGCTCCGCGCTCGAAATTGGGAAAGCGTAATAAGGAGCTTAAAGTTCGAAAGTTAAAAATCGAGCCAAAAATACAGAATAACAATGCGCACGAACGAATACGAGCGATCCTCGTTATTTGCATACTATATCTAAATGTACTTTAATTTTGAGCTTAATACACGCGGAATCTTTCAATAATAAGGCCGCGAGAGCTCGACTGCACTTCTTCGCGATCGTACTTTATCTTATACACATATACTCGAAAAACAAAAGCGTCTATCTCACACAGACATATAATACGCGGCGAATTTTTCATTCCCACGCGAATTCCTCGTGCGCAGAGGGATATAATGCTGGCATCTGTGCGCGCGCGAGTGCGTCTATGTGCCCGAGCGCATGGTATCGGGTACGCGCGTACAGTCTATCGTATAAGTATGCGTTCGTATTATACAGGTATAGATATACCCGCGTACAACCACCCGCAGGGTGTGTAAACACTCCTACAGCTGCGAGTGCGCGCGAAGGTATTACATATACGTATTCGCGAAAGGAAGTGAATCTGGCAAATATTCCGGCGTTTAATTGCGACAATTTACACGCTGGGTAGGTGGATTCTATAAAGGTACTCTTCTTCTACTTCTTCCTCTTCTTCCCTATCTCTCTCTCTCTCGGTGCCTCGCTTATATTGTATATATTATACATATGTGCTACAAGTAAACAAGAAGCACACACGCATCCTTTTGTTTCGCGCGCTCGCGAATCGAGCTTATCTTTCTCTCTCTCTCTCTTTCTCTTGTGGGCGCTGCTGCTGCTGCTGCTGCTGCTGCTGCTTCTGCGGACTTGGCAGAGAGAGAGAAAAAAAGAGAAAGAGCACACACAAGACAGAGGGAAGATATGCCTACACACGTACACACACATCACAGCGTACGCGGAGGAAAGATAGAGAAGAAAGAGAGAAGAACGAAGGTCCATGTAAATAGCTCGTTGCTCACTACTATAATATAATACCATCGCTTTATACCACTTCCGCGTTGTTCGATTAATGAATAAGCTTGAGCTAGCTCGCGCGCGCGAGCTCGAGTGTGTGTGTGGGTGGGTGTGGGTGAATCCTCTCCGACGTTCGTCGACTCGCGATGCGCTCATTGTACTCGCGCTCGAGCTAGCTCCAACGTTGTATTATGTAAGCCAGGCTATACGGCCTAGCTGCTGCGGTCATTTTTATTATTATATTACAGGGGATCGATCGGACAGAGAGCGAGAGACGGACGGACGCGCAAAAACGGCGAAGGTCGAGCGAACGAGAGGTAAAAGGATCCCTCCTCCTCCCCGCAGATATTATATACCTTTCAGATACATAGCAGCGGACTCTACGAGCGACACTGTGTACCAACAAATAGGTACACGTACTTCTGCGAGTTCTACATGTTAATCGATGTTGTTGCTGCCGCGTTACGGAAGCTCGTATTGATAGGAAAATATGTGCAATAATGGTTAACCTCGATTTTGCATACACGCATCTAGACGGAGGATAATGAAGCAAAATCGCGCGCCCGCGCCAGGATCGTCCTTTGATACAACAGGCACACATACTGCGTGCTCATTCCCATCGATATTACAATCAATTGGAATTGCGCGCGCGCGAGCCTCGATCTTATAATAATAAATATATAATGCACAGCAAACGCGCCGCACAATGTAAAATCGTCTAATTTCTAAGGCGAACCGTTAGGAGCTAGGTAGGCGCACGCGGGGCCCGCGCGATATCTTCATAAAATCATTAGTTATATTGTGTACATTATATACCGCACGCGCGTTGGGCTTTTTGCAGTTATATTATGACTTCAGCTGCTGCTGCTGCTACTGGCCCTGCTCTCGCGCCTCGTGTGCAATCCGCGTATTATACAAACGCAATAATTATGAAAGTGGCGATTCGCGCCGCTACCTACATGCATGCACGCGGCGTACACACACACACACACACACACACACACACACACACATAATATAATGATACATAAAATCCACTGCTGCAGCGCGCAGCGATCGATGTCGCTGGAAGTCGCGGGTGCTTCCGAGAAAGATTCACCGTCCATTTCGCGTGCGGTATAGGTATATATATACCTGAGCGAGATCTCCGAGCGGTTGCAGGACTGTTTAGGTATATATAGGCAGCGAGCAGTGTGTAGTATATAGTAAGTAAGCAAGGGAAAGCATTTGAAGTCGCGCAAAAAAACCTCGAGCTTGGCTCTTACTACTGCAGCTTAGCTTTTGTAGATGTTGGCGCTCTAATTGGCCGAAGAACGTAGTAATTGCTGCGTGATAATGCCGCGCGCGCACGGCCAGCTCGGCTCGCTTTTAAACATACGTATATTGTTCTTTCTCTTTTTCTTTCTTTTTCTGCGCGGCCGTCTGTGTGTGTGCATATGAGTGCATACAGATATACACACAGACAGACACACGGCATGAATATACACGGGAAATTAGCCGCTGCGGTGTGTGTGCAGACCATTGACTATGCGTGTGTGTATTTACGCCGCGTGCGAGGTTCTTCTTCGTTTTTTTTTCTTCTTATAGATACCTTGCCGTCATTTCTTGAGAATCGTTACGTACCTCCCAGCTGCCCCACACACACGACGACGTCGACGAGACCTCTATGTCGTTTGAATGAGTTCCTAATTGGTGATGGAGAGTATTTTGCAAATCAAATGGCCGATGGATTACTGCGGTGCGGTGCCGAGGCTCTATACGTAGCTTGTAAACCCCGTTCGATACGACTCGTGTGCTCATTTTAATCTTTCGTCCATTAGAACCGACGAATGGAGAAGTAAAGTGAAATTACGCGATTTTAATGGAAACTTTATCGCTTCAATAAATCATTCGGCTTTTTTATGCAAAATTGAAAGTAAGTCAAAGTTGAAAACTCGAAATATATACAGTGATAATAATAATAAAAGTAGACGTGCATAGCATGGAATTCAGGGTTGAAATACGTTTCCAAGACTTATGACTACGAGAGAGGAATTCGCAAAATGGTGTTCTGAATTAATTGTTATCTTTCCGTTCTCATCTGTGATGTCGTCCCTCGATCTAGACGCGATTCCAAGAACCTTGATGTTTTTTTAAAGGTAAAACGAAGGACGGAACACATACGAGTCCACGTCTCGTAGATGTAAATATTACTCTCGAATCTTGCACGACGCGTACCTATCATTTCTACGACAGTGACATTTAGCTACTCGGGCGCATAGCTGTCCATACGACGTCAGACGACGACGCGAAAAAAAACTTTTGTCAAAAAAAGAGGTAACAAAAAAAAAAAGAAATATTGTACAATCAGAGACAAGTTGTCGCTGCGCGCATAATTCTTTGTATGGTCACTTGAATCGTAAACATTACCATAACTCTCCTATTTATTCAACGCTATATACACGCTTTTATATATCTTGACGCAGCGGCGATGGTAAACACTGGAAAAGAGCGAAAGAGAGAGAGAAAAATAAGAGGCGAATGCGAACGTCAATTATGACTTATACGTCCATCATCATCATCAGCAGCAGCAGCGGCAACGGCGGCGAGTCGTAATTTTTTTTTTTCTATCCCGTTTCGTGATGCAACTGTTGTGCAGACCGCCGCCGCCGTCGTCTCTCAGCTCATGGAGAGCTCTCGGACTCAACGGAACTGCCTTCTCGTAATGGTCTTTTATGCGCGGTGCAGACACACACTCGAACCGGGACGATTATGATACACCGCGAAGGCACGCATGTGGCGCGTTAAGATGACGATGAAAAAGAAAAAAAAAAACGAGAAATAGAAAAAAATAGTCGGCGACGGTTATGGGCTGCTGAATCGTACACGCGGGGCGAATTAAATTCGAACGATTATATAGAGAGACCGAGAGAGAAATGGCTTACCGATTGTTGGAGCGTCTAGAGGATCCAGCTCGTTGTCTAATGAATTTGAGCGGGCCACCGCCGCCGCTGCCGCCACCACCGTTGCTATTGTTGTCGCGCATCGAAAACCACTGAAGTTTTGCACTAGCACCGACACTACTACTCGCCTCGTCCATTCCTCCTTAGCCTCGACACTCAACGACGATCTCGTGTTCTTTTCAGCTCTCTTTTCTGTCCCTTCTTGGCCTTTTTCTTGTTTCTTTCCTCTCTCTCGCTCTCTCAGGTGTGTGCAAGAGTTTGGAGGTAACCTTTTACGGATCAGCAGCAGCAGCAACATCAGCAGTAGCGACAGTGTCAGTGCAGGCGAAGGGAGCTGCCGCCGTCTCGCTCGGCAGCTTCATCCTTGAGGCTATGTTTTTGCGCGGGAGACGAGCGAGCTGCTCGCCGCTACTACTGCTCAGCGGCCGCACCGCGCCCGGGATGCATCGAACGCTCTTGAGAATTTCCGGACAACGAGAAAATCAACGTCGCGATTGTCTCTTGTCGTCGTCGTCGTTGTTGTTGACAATGACTGCGGATTCGAGGACGATCCTTGGCCATGTGATGGTTGTAACGTGGCGGGACGTTAATCTCCCCGACACTCGAGCATCGGAGACACTCGCTCGAAGGGCTCGACCATTTGAATCGTCGTTCGAATTGGCGATACAGTCAACGGTTGCCCCTATACACTATAATGCGTGCGCGCACACTCGCGCCACTACGACAATGATGATAGTCGCTCTGCTGCGTTGCGGATTTCGACTGATCGACAGTCAAGTCTGAAGTCAACGACACTACGATATTTCTCTCACAAC